AGACTGACAGCAGCTCATTGGATAATTTGGATCACGTGTAGCCTGGTGCCAGACGCTACGAACAGCTTTACCGTAGTAACAGGAGAAGCGGTGCAAGTGAAGTTAGATACTGTTGTCGGCAGTATGCGGTAATTTATAAATGTTTTAAATCAGGATTGGTCTGGATCCAAACTGATCCGTGACCCTTGTTCTAGGGTGTCAAACAGAGTTTGAACAAATCTGTTATGTCTCAGACTTGGTAGTCATCAGCGTATACATGAAAACGTCCAGGAGGTAAACTCATCCAACAGGACACATCCAAACATTTTTTGCTCCTTTTAGTGAGGTAGGACCTGAACCATGATAGATCTGAGCCAGTAATACCCACCACTGCTCTAATCTGGAGACCAGAATGTTCTGTTCCATTGTGTCAAAAGCAGCTGTCAAACTGGGAAGCACCAGTAAGACACAGTTCCCAGAATCCATTGCCAAGAAGATGTCACTTTAACAGAGCAGATTTGGTTTAAGCTATGTTATGTTTAAAAAACAAATTCATCTGAATAATAATTAATAATAATAATTAATCTAAATAAGCAATTTTCTCCAACATCTTGAACTGAAAGGTAACTTAGTTTGGAAAATAAAACGGCAGATGAAGGCCAACATCAGTATGAACATGACATACCAACATTTTGGTGGCAGCATGATGCCGTTGGAGTGTCTTTCTTCACTAGACACAGTGTTTTGGTCATAGTAGATAAGATACATGTTGCAGACTATGAATCTGAGGAAATTGTTCTTTATTTTGTCTTAGTTGTAAGACTTAAAATTAAATCTAAAATAATAAAATGATTGTTTCGAGCCATCTTCCGAGGTCAACTAGAGTTTTTCCTCTCCACTGTCACTACGAGCATGCTTGGTGTGAGGGATTACCGTCGAGTCAATGAGTTGATTCAATCAGCTGGTTTTTATTATAGAAAACTTTGAATCAGTCTGATAGTATGATCTCGTTGAACTGTCTCTGTAGAGTGAGATGAGGTGTTTGGAATTGGCGCTATGCGAATAAACTGAATTAAATTGAATTCTATTTCTTCTGTTCAGGTATACAGTGAGAGAAAAATAGTTTTAAAGCAAAAGTCCATGTGACTCTGTATTCATTACTCCTGTGTTAGACAAGTTGACCGCAGGATGTTTTATTCCCATTTACAGGGAATACATTACTGATGCTTTGTGACGCCTGCAGAAAGTGTTTATTTTCTGACTAGAATTGTCTCTTTTTTTTTAAGACTGAGGAAGAAAAATGTGGAGGCACCGTTTACGGTGCGGATCTCCCTGCTGGAGGGCCACGTCTCACCCAGTCGAGGGCAGCTCAATGAGCTGGCAGCTGTAAGCGCCGAGCGGTGGTATGTCGCTCCAGAGGTGAAGAGAATAGACATTCGTCAAAATGGAATCGTAGGGACATTGTTGGTTCCCCCTGGTGAGTCTATTACCCATTAGTGCTGTGATTTTACACCTGTTGAGCCGTGAATAGCCCACCTTTGCTGGTTTTCCTGCAGGCCCAGGCCCATTTCCAGCCCTTCTGGATCTATGGGGAATGGGTGGAGGACTACTAGAATACCGCTCCTCTCTCCTTGCATCTAAAGGCTACGTTAGCCTTTCTCTCGCATACTTTGGACACAAGGATCTACCTGGTCCACCAGATCGTTTCACCGTCGGAGATTCATATTTTAAGGCAGGCTAATGCTACGCATTCTGAATCCTCTCCCAGCCGTGTTTATCAGTCTTCCAGTGCCTTTAAAACTTTTTGTTTTTTGGGTGGGAACTTAAGGTTATCAGTTCTTTCCCCTTTTATGAAGGTTCATCTTTAGGGGCATAAGTTCTTGACTTTATTGACATTCACATCCAGCAGAACCACATTGAACCTCTCCAATAAGCAGAGATGAAATCCACATTTCCCTTAATCCAGACCCCTCCGGCCCTTTCCTTTGCCTAGAAGTACTGTACATAAAGGTTATAAACAGTGAAGCCCTGTTGGAGTCCATCATGGACCTGGAATATGATGACATACTTCTGCCCAGTGGTTAACACTGCTGCCTTGCAGCAAGAAGGTTCAGGGTTCAATTCCTGGCCCGGGGTCTTTCTGCATGGAGTTTGCATGTTCTCCCTGAACATGTGTGGGTTCTCTCCGGGTATTCCGGCCTCCTCCCACAGTCCAATAACATGACTGTTAGGTAAATTGGCTTCTTTAAATTCTCCTTAGCTGTAAGTGTGTGTGTGAATGGTTGTTTGTCCTATGGATGGATGGATAGAAGGACGGACCGACTTCCGCTCCACTTGTAAAGAGACTTGATGGCCCAGAGTAAAGGGGAGGGGCTACTCATTGGCTCTAACACAGGGCACGACGAGGGACATGGTTTAATGCCTTCTCCAGGTCCACAAAACACACGTGGGAGTTGGGCTAACGCCCAAGCACCCTACAGTATCCTGCAGTTTCTACAGTCAGAAAGACTCTCCTATCCTGAACCCTGTCATAGGCCTTACCGGGGAGGCTGAGGTGTGATTCCCCCTATAGGTTGAACACATCCTCCGGTCCCCCTACTTATACCGAGGAACCACCAACCTAACCTGCCAGTTCAGGGGTATTTTCTTGCTAGCGATATTGTAGAGGTGTGTTAGCCATGGCAGCCAACAACAACCAGAGACCTAGGGTATAGGGGTGGATGACATCTACACCTGAAGCCTTGCCACCATGCAGTTTTTTGACCAAATTACTGACCTTAGCCTGGGCGATGGGTGAATCCGTCCCTTCTTCCACTACTGAAGATGCGTCGGCCGGGTTGAGGGGATTCTCAAAGTACTTCTTCCACCTTCCGAGGAGCCCTGCTTACCCCTCCAGAGACGCCAGAGGTTTTGCCAGAATTGCTTTGAAGCCGACTGATAGTCTTTGTCCAGGACAGAGTTTTACCTTTGTAACCTTCTTGGGAGTAGCACGCTTGGCCTCACTATACCTCCTTGTTGCCCTAGGACTTCCTCTATAAGCCTCCTTCATCAGCTTGACAGCATCCCTTACTGGCAGTGACCACAACTGGGTTTGCATTATTTGGCCTTGATTAAATATGTGTATATAAGGTGGATGATTAGCTTCCTATTACCAATAGTTTCTAGCCTTAGCCTACATTTCGAATTGTAGGAAGTGACCCTGTCCTACAGTCACCAAGATAGAAACATTTATAAATCTAAGTCGGTATACTATTAAATCTAAGATTTGTATTGGTTTCTTGTTGTCAACTCATACATAAATTTGTTACCAGATCTTTCATATATTAGAATATGTTTCTAAGTTACAAATACAAGTTAAAATGTTCCAACTTTGAAAAATAGACAAGGATGAATCACTATTTTTTTTAGCACAAATCTACAACTCTGATGAAGATTGTTGGCTTGTAGCTTTTTACACATAAATTTGTGATTGTACTCAGAAATTTGTAATTTTCACTCTTAAATTTGTGATTTCTATCAAGAAATCTGATTTCTTTAATTGGGAATTTGGGATTT